TCGATCAAAATAATCTAAACATTTTTGTCATAAAAATTAATCAAAGTTGAAATAAATACGGTAACTTTGGCTTTTATTCTTTCTATACTCACTCAATTCAATAAATTCTGTTCAATTCAGCTTTATTGGCATGAATGTCAAACAACTTTATTTGTAGCTTGTGTGTGTGGGTGGGTGTGTGTTAAAAAAATTAAATTATATTAAAAATAAAAAAGTCAATAAAACGGTAGCTTGTGTGTGTTGTGAATTCAGTTCAGCAAATAAATAAAATAAAATAAATAAAACAATAAGCTTGTGTGTGTGCCATTGGCCAGTAGTATTTAAGGTTTTTTTTAGAATAAAAAATGAAACAATAAAATATTAATAGACAATAAAAAACAACTAAAAAATCTCTCTCACAGCGAGATCAATTGATTCATGATTGATATGTTATCTGATTTTTATACAAGCAATATTCAAACTTTCATCATACATACATTATAAGATTGTTATTGTACAGCCAAAGTGAGGTGCATGTACCTGCTTGCTTAAAAAAAATAAAGGAATAGTAACATAAATAAAAAATTAAAATATATAATGAATGAACGAATAAAGATTTATTATTGTGTCTTGTGTATAATTAAGCCCCGCCCACATGGGCTTACAAGACTCCAGGCCCAGAGTACATCATATACAGACAGGAGAATAAGAAGAGCAATAATAATAAATAAATGTACAAACACATACAAACCTATATCTACAGGTACACATACACCGATTTAACACAATTAAATCTAATTAAACAAAGTAACTTGCTTTCTTTTCTAAGTTCCTTTGCTACTTAAATACATCATGATTAAAAAGGCTTTCCATGCTGTACCAGAATATTTCAGGATTTTGCTGCGTGACTTCCAGGAACATTGACTCTCTTGTGCAGTACAAAAGGAAACAGGATTCACTTTCCACCTCACCCAGCTCTCGCAATCTGTCTTCCTCTGGAATATTTTCGGCCATATATAAATTAAAGTAAGCTGTGTGTTGTTACAACATTATATATTGTGTCGTCAAACTCGTGCAGGAGGACAGAAAGTACCGTCAGTGCCCTCATCATACCCACATCTCAGATGCCCATCCAGCTATTTCTGCTCTGTGGCAGCCGGGTGGCTCCACGCTCTGACAGTGAAGGATGTGTGTGTGTGTGCGCTTTTCCTGCATGATTTTTTCTATATTCTCTTTTCACAAAAACCAAAATGAAGGAGGCGGTGGAGCCAGAGCAGACCCCGAGGAATTCCTGAGAGTCTTTTTACGCTGCTGAGGCTGAAATGGAGTGTGACAGCTCGACAGCCAGCAGCTTCATTGTTCTGCGTTCTCCCAGAAACGCTTCCAGGAGTCCAAAATGTACGAGCTGATAGAAAAATGTTTGTTGTTCCACTGGGGAAATGACAGGAAAGGCCTAAACAAACCAGCAGTTGCTTCACATGCCACAAAAGCCTCGTCTGGCTCCCGGCGAGGCCCGAGGCTTCGGATTTACAAAGCCGCAGCTTTAAGGCGGTTAGTTTCGGTAGCCGGGCGGGCGGCACGACGCCTCGGCCACAAAAGACTCAGATTGTCCCCGAGGCTTTAGGAAACACCGCAGGGTGTTATCTGTGTCTGGAAGGTGTGTGTTTCCGTGCGGCCGGCCTGGGAGACGAGTCATGTGGAGAGATTAGTGGTGAGTCTGGAGCAGGAGGAGCTGCTGTTAGCGACTTAGCTCGTGTCACTGATACAGTGTGAGGTGATGGAGGGATCAGCCTCCCGTCCAGCGGTCAGATCATCTGCCAAGACGGCATCATAAAAATGTCCTGAAAGGAGCAGAGAACACAAATTATTACTTGTGTTTCTGATTAATGTGCAGATTAGGTTTTCCTGCAGCCGGTGTGTGACAGCGGCTGCTGTTCATTCTGCACCTCCACAGATTTGTTCCTCTCTGTTGGAAAACTAATTATTACTACAACGATTTCCCCTCACTGAGAAGTCCTGTACTATAATCGCACTCTTCGTTTTCTTGTGTAGCTGACTCCTTCATCCAAAGAGACTTACAACTGCTACGTATATCCTCTGCATTGGGAATCGAACCCGTGTCTCTCACGTCATTAACCCCATGCTATATTTAAGTTATTATTTAGTTTAAACTCAGAGGTCAGATTTTGCATCCGTAACTTTGGTTCAAGGTGAACTAGTTGAGGAGACACGGCTGGTATGAAAACAAATCAGAGACACTGAAAACACAAAGTACTTGTTGCTTGTACTTGATGTAGTACTTTAACTATTCGAGAGAGTTCAGCGAGCTGCTGCAGCGACCCTGAGAGCGCCTGATCCGCACACTGAGCCTGTTGCTCTGTGGACCAGCGCAGTAGTTTTTTTCTCTAAGCGGGAATATTTGTGTGCGTGTTATTTACAGGAATCGTTTACGGGTTATGAAACCAGCTTGATTCTGTGCATCACTGTGACAAAGACGTTTATATCTACATCTCCTTTCTTATATTATGAGACCAGTGCAGGGCCCGTTCACAGGGGCCAGTGTGACGCCTCCCTGCGCTTTTTAGTGCAGGGTTTGTTCAAAATGTGCATCTCATGTTGGTTTATCAATAACACTGACACAACAGGTGGAGATTCAGCGCTTCCTTACAACTTCACCACACGCTTAAGACTCAGTTTCTAACCTATCAAAAACCTGCGTGATGACGGTAAATCTCTCTCTCAACAATATATAAGCTCCGCCCCCGGGAGCGGAGCAGCCAAACTGTACATTCATTCTGATCGTGTTGCGTGTCCACTCCCTTCGGTCTTTGATTGGATGAACGGTTCTTGATATAATTTAAACACTCACAGATTCTTGCCTTTATTAGAGAGATGAACACCAACATTTCATCTCAGACAGGTTCACTATTATTTAATAGTCATGTAATCGTTTTGTTTACACAGATGTCTATAATAAATATGCCAACATTGCAACGCAGGAGTCATCGATCATGGAAAGGTTTTACTGAATGTTTGAAAATTAAACTGTACATTAAGAACAGTTTGATGCTACAGATTTCTGCCACACGAGTCGAGGTATACAGGCTCAGTCCTTCATCTGCCCGGCTGTCTTCATTTTATTCAGGCTGCACCCAGATCAGAAGAAGGGGAGCAGGACGGCGGCAGTTCGATGATTTTGCTTTAAACTCCTGTTTACTCCCTGGCGTTCATCAGGTTCATCTCGATTATACAGGTCCAGTGTGTGCTTAGCTGCCAGGTGTGTTACACCTACATTGTAAAAATGAAGTCAGACCAGCAGGGTGAAACGACGCAGAGCATTTGTTTGATTACTGTAAAGATCAAAGTGCACGGAATCTCTGAGATGATGTAAATCATTTCCCTGAATTTCACCTTTTCACCCTTTGTCATGTGTTGTGATAGTTCTGGGTTTCAGTCAGTGCTTCTTTTATTCTAACAGAGAGGAGTTACTCCATAACTTCCTGTCTCTATGCTAAGCTAGGCTAACACTAACCCGCCCTGGGGCTGTCTCTGTAGCGGGCGCAGATGTGAGACTGAGGAGGCGTTTCCTTTAAAGGAGCAGAGGAACAGCTGATTACTCGGAAATGTTTTCTTTCTTCTGCTGTATCAGTTTCCAGCGTCACGCTCATGCCGACACGCCACCGCCACCGCTTCTGTGCACCGTTGGTTTTGCTGTGGGTGCAGAGCTGGTGAGACACGACATCACGTTGGACCGAAGCTGCTCGGAGCCACAAACACACCCGAAAAGATCTGAGAGCTCCAGTCGTTGTTGACTGTTGACTCTCACTGATGCTGAAAAGACTCCAACATGAAAGCTGAGCCGCCCTCAGCCTGCATCGCACGCCGAGCGACCCTCTGCTGTCACGTCACAAGCGTTTCCAAAAGCTTTATCACACTGTAACATCATATTGTGAAAATTTCAGGCTTATTTTTGGGTTCATGTGTTGAACTTGGCCGTGTCTACCTGCACGTCGCTGATTAAGGCTTTGCTGGGAAAAGAGTCTGGAGCTCAGCCACAGGAGCCAGCAGGGGAGAGAGGAGGGGAAGCTTCACACCCCGCTGCATTCTGGGAATAATGAGCCCTTTTCAGACACGAATCTGCAACATTAGTGGCTTCATGTATCTGCGTAAGGGACAGATTACATCTCTTTACAGCAGCTCAACATTATTTAAAGGTTCTGAACTTGTGGCTGATTTTATTTGTATTGTCCTGTTACACCCCACCGCTCCTCTTCTGTCCGCCCCAACATCCAAACACTCTGTACCAACAGAATTCAGAAACCAGGATCAGGAGACAGACATGACGCAGTATCCTGCTTTCTAGTAAACGCACTTCCATCACTCACAGCCAATCACATTCATGCAGGTGTACTGAGTCTAATCAACACTGTTTACTCTGCAGCTCTCCAGGTGTGCTGTTTCAGCCCGTTCTGTCACGTCCTTCAGCGTCTGGTACAAACGCACACGGCAGCCTCTAGCATCACAGTTCAACGCTGAAAGAAGCCCTGTTAGAAATAACAGGAGAGTCAGAGTAAGGAGGTGTTGGGGTGGACGGGTGGGTCAGTAACCAGACTTTCACCCAGGAAACCGGTGTTCGTTTCCCGCGTGAAACAATCAAACTTTGATTGTTTTAATTATGTAGTCACGTGAGTAATTATTATAGTTATTTAACCCAAACCCTTTACCTTTTCCTAAACCTACCTCTGCAAAAACGATGCTTAAAAAGCGTTAAAAAGAAATGCAAAGGGCTGTTGCAGATTACTGAAGCTGAGCTAGAAGCATGTTTTCTTTTATTTGTGAAAACGGTCTTTTCATCCCGACAGCAATCAATAAATCAAAAGCATCTGTCTGTGGCCGTCAGGACTGCAACGAGCACGGCCTACGTGCTGCACTCATGGACGTGTGTTTTGGAGGGAGGCCTGCAGGGTGGAGGTTACGTTCAGATTTTGTCTGTCTCCGCTGTTCCTCCAGTGTTGCTTTGGCTTTAATGTTCACGTATGTTTATTAAGGAGGGATTATCGCTCTCAATCTCTCTGACTGAACTCTGTTTAAAAGTACAGTTTAAAATATCAAAGAGCCAACAGGAAGTCAGCAGTTCAGCCAGAGGAGGACTCAAATACACTAATAATGTACAATAATAATAATAATAATAAGGCTCTGTGGGCATTAAAACATGGAAGTCTGACAATCTGTTTGGAGCAGCTTTCATTAGAATGAATGAATTTAGTTATACAACCTTTGCAGCATGAAAACAACACGTTCATCTGCAGCATTCAGCAGCAGCAGCACGTGAGGAGCAAGCTGCCAACGTGTTCATCCTGATTAGACCTCACAGGTGTTTTCACTTCAGGTTCAATCTCAAAACGGTTTGCAGCGTTTTCTGATTGAACGACATGTTTCCTTGCAAACGTTGTGCAACATTCTGCAACGGGCTTCGAGGTATGTTTTCTCCCGTTTGGTGGGCATTTTCAGGTGTTACTCAATCAGATGCGACAGGTTTGTAAATACAACGGTGTTAAAAAGGCAGGAAAATGCAACGCGCTTGCGTCCACAGTCCTGAGTCTAACCAGCCAAAACTATTGGAAACACCAGTGGCCTGTACTAAGAAGCGGGGTAACTGGCTTATCCAGGTACCTTCAGGAGTAACTTTGTGACGTCGGGTGTAACTTCCCGATTAACCTGTACTACAAAAGGTGGACAGGTTTTACCCGAGGTCTGCTGTCATGGTTTACGCCTGCGTGCAGGTCATCTTCGTGGTTAACCCGAGGTTAAATATTTTTAACTTGTTCCTGAACTCACCCTGCAGCCGAGCTGCGATTCAGGGAGGAGATCTGAATTCATTAACAGGATGGTTTCTCAGATGGAGCCCATCGAACTGAATGATTCTAAATGTTTTCACATATTTAGATTAATTTACGTGTCCAGAAAATACGGAGCCAGGGTGGGGGGGGTAATCTGATGAAGGTCTTCTGAATACGCCCAGTAAAGTCTCTAAAGTCCCAGTGTGTGTAATAATCTGGTGGAATATGTTCCACTGCAGAGGTGTGTGATGTTGCAGCTGTGCAAAGTGAAGTGATCCTTTTAAATAAATATTTATATTTTATAGGTCTCAGTGACTCAGTTTGCTGCACAAAACGTTTTCGCTTACTTTGTTTAACTTTTCAATTTAAAATTCAAATCCTGAAATAAGTGTGGCTTTTGTTTCTGCTGCTGAAACATTTGGAGGAAAACTTCAGACTCTCTCTCGGACCTATGCCGGTAAGATTTTCAAAATAAAACTAGTGGTTACCGCTGCAGTTTGGTTAGGTTTATGCGACCTGCGTCGCAGCCCCCCTGCCGTGACTCCTGCTGCATGGGTTTTGTATATTTTTGTGCTTTGGGATGTCTGCAGCAGCTTTGTGTCTCTCTCTGCGCTCGGTTTCCCTCTACATGCTCTGGAGCGAGTTGGTGGGCGTGGCTCCTGTGTTCCCCTGTCAGCACCTTCACACACGTTTTGCACTGGTTTGCAATGTTTTTCAGATTGAACGACATGTTTCCTTGCAACGTTCCGCAACGGGTTTCGAGGTATGTTTGGTGGGCGAGTCTCAGGTGTCACTCAATCAGTCCGTGAACACAACAGTGTTAAGAATGCAGAGAAATGCAGTGCGCTTGCGTACACAACAGGGCGTTCAACAAACCACCCTTTCCGACGTTTTGTCGGCGCTGAACTCGCCCCTGGCCCGACTCGCCACTCTGCCCGCCTGCTCGTCATCCTGCCCATCAGCCTCCTTACCAGCCTTCCAGTCTCTGCGTTGTATCAGAGTGTGAATGCACGCCAGCCAACCAGTCAACCAGAGACGGATGTTGGAAGTTTGAGAGTTTGCCTGCCTGGCAGTTGTGTCATCGCTAATCTGTTTATCTCCAGGATTCACCACCTGACCACCAGCCAACCCCTGAACTCCCCGAACCACTTGTTATGATTGGACGCCCCCTCTCCTGCCAACACCGAGCGACCCACATTCCCGAACACCTGCCCCCACTCACCTGCAGCTGCTCTGCCTCTCTTGTTCCCTTGTTATTATTTAATAAAAGATCTCCGTTTCATCCTGACACCAAAACTACTTGGATGAAAGTCCGGTTTCTGACCCATCCATCCAACCTTCTACTCAGGCTTTTCTGTTCCTTATACTCGGCCTATTTTAAAGTTAAAGGCCAGACGTCGACGGACGTGACAAAGCTTAGCTATTAGACGCCCTAGGATTAAGAAGCTGCTGGTTGTTTCTTGCTAAATTCTTTTATTGTGAAGCAATTTGGAACTTTTCTTTTACGTTTTGAAAAATCCTAACTCATTTGTCTCCTGATGCGCAAAGGAGCAGACACTTTCTGTGCTTGTGTCTTCTGTCAGTGTGTCCTCAACAGAACACGCTGATTTATAACCTGTGTGTCTGTGATGCTGTGATTTAGATTTACTTGTGGAGACGTGTGAATCACAGATCTGTTAGAGCTGCAGGACAAAATCCGTAAAACGAAGCCTCTGAGTGAAGTCGAGTGTTGATCTTCAGAGAGTTACTGAGCCACAGGAGGAGTGTTGTTTTACGGCGATATGAAAGTGTGTAAGTTTGTGGATTTGAGAGTATCTGATAGTTGTATTTTCACCCTCGCCACCAGCTGCGTCCTTCTGGCTCCAGCTCTGTATTTTATTTCTCTTCTGATATTAAAGGTGAAGCTGGAGGTGAGACGCTGACAGACCCGGAGAGGCCTTGAGCTCCTGCAGCTGCCGAGCGTCCACGCAGACACAGAGACATGGAGCTGATTAAAGCTTCTTCAGGATCACTTTACACTCCCGGTGGTTTCACACGCTGATGCATTTCTCCTCGCCGCAGGGACGCTCGCATTTATCTGGCTGGAGGGAAAAACCTGCAGAATGTATACGGGACAGGATTCAAACTTGCTGGGAAATGAAAGCTTGTTTCTGGAAGTACACTTTTGTGTTTTTGTTGAACGAACTGAATGAAGATCAGATGGTGTAACAGAAGTGGGCGGGAAGAAGGCTGACATCATTGTTAGCGTTGTTACTGCTCCGCCCGGCGAGCACGCTGAGTGAAACAAATCAAACACACCTGACCAACTGGTGCATGCTGGGTCTGACCAACCTTCACCTCCGTCTTTTCTTTCCATCTCCTCACCCTCACTCCTCCTCCTCTCTTCTTCTCTCTTCACTTTTCCTCTCCCCCTTTACCTTCTCCTCCTAATCTCCTCCCTTCTGTACTTCTGCCACTACTTCTTTCTCTCTTCCCTTTCCTCTCCTTTCTCTCCCCTTTTCTTCTCCTGGGAAGGAGGACGAGGGTTTATTGGATGAGAGAGTGATCGTCTCCGTCCAAAGAAAAGAAACTTTAGCCTCCCTCTCTCTGCTCTCTTTCAGCAGGAGAAATGTAATTATTGTTGGCTGAAGGCAGGAGGGAGGAGGAGGAGGAGGAGGAGGAGGAGGGATGGTCTTTCCTCCCCTCTCTTCCTCCTCTCCTTGTCTTGCGTTTCTTCTCTTCTCTGTTCATCTTCTCCTTTTTCCTTCCTCCCTTACGTTGTTTTTGTTTTTCTACCCTCGTTGTTCCCCTCTCCTCCTCACCTCTCCTCATTCTCCACCTCCTCTTTTTACCGCTCCTCACCTCACATCTTCCTCCCCTTCTTCTCCTGTTCTCCTGTCTGTTCTTTCTTCTGCACACCTTCCTTCTTTACTACTGGAGATTTCACGGGCACGTTCAGGCCTTTTGGGAAGCTCCAGGATGTGATCATGTGACTGGAAGCAGAGGGAAGCGAGGTCCGGATCAGGCCTGCTGATTGGTTCAGAGCTTCAGGCCAGTGTTAAAACTGACGTGTAAATCAAAGTGACGGCACGAGGAGTGCAGTGGAGTTATGGCCGCTACCGCCAACATGTTCTCACCCCAACTCATCACATGGACGCTTGGTCAAGACCCATTTGGCGTTGCCTATCTGGTTAGACTTTCAAAATAAAAGTAGTTTGTTTGGGAAAAGATCTTAGTGTGGGTTATGTTGCGTAAGTCAGTTAACTTCGGTAAGTTAAGTAACATGACTTGCATGTTTAATAAAAACATTCAATATTGACTTTGTCTCCTGGTTCTTTACTCTGTCTTTACTGTTATACATCCCACCCCTGCCTTTAGCGTTCTAAAGTTACAGGGCTTCCCCCAGTGTGTTACAGACTGATGCCAACGGGTCTTTACCATGAGTCCATGACGAACGGGTTGTTACTGCTGGCTCTCTGGGTTCACCTTAAGCTGGGCATACACTGCCCGACTTTAGAAATCTTGGTGTTTTATTCCAACTCACACTGTAGAGTAAACTGTCTGCGACGTAAAGCCAAAGCTCATGATGTACAGTAGGTGTAGTCAGCCTGACTGCTCACACTGTATGTGTGTAAAACTGCCTGTCGGCCCCTGAGCACCGTTCTGACTGTTGACAATAGTCAATAAAGATTTCTTTGAATGCTCCCAGGGAGGTAGAAGAAACTTGCTGCTTTGACCAGCTGTGTGCTGAAACGTCTATAAGAGGCGCTGGTGTTTATCGACCAGCGGTGTCATGCCTTCATTTAAGCCAGGGGTAGCATTGGTCTTAGCATGCTAAGCTAACTTAAAATGAGCATTAGCATTGGACTTTTAGCATTACCTTTAGCATGTGGGCTAGCATCAACGGACATTTCATGTCATGTCATTTAATTCCAGTTCATTTAAGTACTAGTCGAAAGAGTAGAAATCATGATTAGATAAATACAACACATGCACAGTTAATTTCAAGTCATTTATTTTAGCTTATTGGATTTACCCAAGGTCATCCAGATGTTTGCATGGTTCTTTCAGCTGTTCTTATCTTCAAGCAGGGATCTGGGTCGAAGTGGCAAACAGGAAGTGATGGAGTCTGTGAGCCAATACGGAGGGGTGTGCTGGAGTACCTAAAGTTTTCTGTTTTGAGAAGCTTGTTCAGCATGTAACATTTCATTTCTGGTTTTATAGTCGATATATTGTGTATTGATGTGTTGTTTGACTGATTTCCAATAAACTTTGGTTTGTCTTGTAGTCTGGGCTTCCTGTATAAAGGAAGAAGGCAGAGGCTCCAGCTTTGGCCTGGTGCTAGAGCCCAGTAGTCATAGTTTCTTCGTGTTGTTTAATATCAGTTTGTAATGATAACTTGAATAGTTTATACTTAGTTTCCTCGTTGCTTTTTAAATTTTTGATATATTTTTGTAATAATTCACCCTTGCGTTACTGCACTTTCCACGTGTCTGGTGAAGAAATAAATTGAAGCACCAGGTGAAGTCCTGAGTCCGTGTCTCCGCCTTCCACCACGGGGCTAAACATTTCAAGCGGGCTGGGAAGATGTGGACAGCAGGGCATGTTAGTTTTGCACAGACAATTGGAGGTAAACAAGCTACATTTTACTAAACAAACTGTAGACTTGATAGCGAGCGTTCGGCAGCAGTTAATCGCTCCGCTGCTGTGTCTGATCTGCTTTTGGGTTCGAGCCAGAACCCTGACATCTACAGCACATTATAAACGCTTCACAAATCAATCTTTCCCTTTTATAGTTTATCACAAAACATGAAGGGTTCCCTTTCTAAAATAACTACACATCAATACATTTTTCAGATGCAACCCCCCCCATTGTGGGAGCTGTTATGGTCTCTGTAAATAATGGTACACAGAGTACTGTTTAGACCTGCTCTGCATTAACAGTGCAGTTTGGTCGTGTTGTTTTCAGACTCCTCGTTCCTCCTCAGTCTGCCGCAGAGCTGCCAGACTTTCTCCCACAGCGGCGATGATACTGATCTGAAATCAGCAGAGTCACTCATGAATCATGCTGACAGGGCCTGGGCGGGCGCCTCATGACTCAGGAGCACGACAGCAACGCACACATGAACCGCAGGACGCATCCATCGTAGAAAACAACACCAGCCAGAGATCATCAGGTCAGAAAGACTAGAAAGGTACGAACTGAGCCGGTTTACCTGGGACCTCTCAGACCTCGACTGTGACCTTCGACTTTAACTGTTGAACTTGATTTTAGTGATACGGGAAATGCAAAGTGACTGATAGAATAATTTAATATAACAAAAGCATGTAAAGGTTTCAGTAAGAGGAACTCAGAGTGTTTTACTGTCACGTGTTCCAGTGCAGCGAGACGGTGAAAGTCTTTGGCTTCAGGCAGCAACAGTCTCACTTACGGGGACTAGACAGCGCCAGGACGGCCTGTCTGGGGTCTTTGATGGTTCTGTGGATGCACAGGTCCTGTGTGGCGGGCAGATCAGTCGCAGTGTAAGGTCAGGATGCCCAGCGGTTCAAAAAGTTTAATCTGGATCCGAATGATCCGGACTTGGAAATCCCGTGTTCCAGGATCACGTAAACCCTCTTTTTCAAAGCAACACTGGACTGGATCACCCCGTGGGGGCGCTTTAATTTGAAGAGACAGGAAATGCACAATAAAACAACACAAACATTTCCTTCAATTATGAATTTCTTTAAACAGTCAGACCATCTGAGCCACAACAAATCCAAGAAAAACAAACAAATAAACCTTCTTCACAGATTCACTGTGGATATTTTGAGCCTGTGTTGTCCACCAGTTAAAATAAAGATCGATCAGAGTTCAGAGAGCTTTTAGCTTTTAGCTTTCAGCAGGTGGTCTCAGAATGAGGGACTGACTGGACCTGCAGTAAGGAAACTCCTTCTGACTGGTTCACCTCTGACGATGCTGTCTTTGTAATTAATGTACAGTGATAAGTGACAGTTTAAATTAAATACATTACGATATTGAAGCTGTTCGGATGATTATTTATTTTATTACCTCACTGTACTGAATGGCTTAGAGGTAACGTCTACTTCATCTACTTCATCACTGTAAAGTTTAAGCAAATCAAGTGCAAAATACAAATAAAAGTTTTATGACATTTTGATAATCCTGAATCAAAGGGATCCCAGTCCTACTAAAAAGTTTTGAACAACCAGGACTGGATTAGGTGATCTGATCCGACTTCTGAATCCTTTTGTCTCTTTTGAACAACCCATTTCCGAAAGCCGATCAGATTAATTTTAAACAACTGGCGCCTGGATGTAGGTGACCGTTGTGTTGTTTCTTATTTAGATTAAGTCAGGAATAATTAGGGCTGCATTATCATTAAATCTGACAGTGTTTTTGTCAATTAATCACTTCAGCGTTTTGGTCTGTAAATACACAGAGAAACTGAGATCGGTCTGATCTCACCTGCTGTTAAGGAGAAAATCAGGTTGGTGAACATCTGATAATGAATCTTACAGAAGTGAACAGAGTCCCTGTTTCTATTATTCTGTCCACCCCCTGTGTGTGTTTTTGGCCTCAGAGGAACAATAGGAAGGAGCTAAGCGTGCAGACCTCTGACCCCCTGACTGTTGGCTCCTGTAATGTTGCTGGACTTGATTCTTGTTTGAACAGGAAGTCCGCGTGTGGTTTCAGGTGTGAGGCGTCGATCCGGCTCCGCAGGATCGTTGGGTCAAGACAACACGACCTGCATCAGCGAGACAAGAGAGGTGATGAAGACGAAGACAAAAGGAAACTCCACTTTTCTTCCACCCTGACTTTTGAATCTTTAGTCTTTTTGTAGAACTTTTGTTTTCACACTCACACAGTTTCACACGTTTTCACCTGAAGCTGCCGTCACACAGTCGGGGGTTCAGAGCTTTGCTCGAGGGCGCCTGAGTAATCGGGTTTCTGGCCCGAACCCAAAGCAGAACGGACACAGCAGGTTAGTTGAATCACCAACTGGATGAATCAGAGAGGCGGAGGCAGAGGTTCTCAAACCTTTTCACTTCACGTTTTGATAAGATTTTGTCCCAGGGTCCCCTGATAGGAGCCGCTGACAGGATCTTTGCTTTTAGATTATTCATTTATCACAGAAAGTGCATGAAACCTATGACCAATATAGCTATAGTTTTTGTCATTGTGTTACTTATGGCTGGAATTATAGTGAAAATAAAGAATTCCCCTTTTTGGTGGGGCCCCCTGGAAACCCCCTCGAGGACCCCACTTTGAGAACTACTGCGGTAGAGTTTTGTGAAGCAGAGAGAGATGTAGGTGGAGCAAGGCAGGTGCTCTTTCAGAAGGCAGGTCGGCTAGAAACGTCCTGAAGGTG